TAAGAACTGGAAATCGGTTTCCAAAAGTCACGAACGCCAACTGCAAAAAGTGGCCAGGCATCTTGAAAGTAAGCAGCTAGAGCCATACTGGTACCACAAAGACCATTTGGCATGCGGGTCATTTGGTGCTGTATTTGCAGGAATCAAYGAGAAAGATGGAAGAGAAGTGGCCATCAAACGTATTRAGAAGATACGTATGCAACGACCAGAAGACAAACGAGAAATAACAAATCTCACTGCGCTTGCAGATTGCGAACAAGTCGTCCGTTATTTATTTTTCTTTGAAGATGAATACTTCTCTTATATYATATTGGAACTGATGGAGGGAAATCTTGATGGACTCCTTGACCATAAGATATCGGTAGACATCGGAGTAAAGCTTTGCCAAGATGTKTTCATRGGAATAAAATTYCTACACGATCACAGCGTCATTCATCGAGATCTCAAGCCAACCAATATTCTCTACAAATGGCATCCCAAACTTTGYTTGAARATTGCTGACTTTGGTCTAAGCCGCCGYATCGATTGCAACTYTACTACAGTGYATGGYACTAATGCTGGAACMAGGTGCTGGATTGCTCCAGAAGTGCTAACGTCTACAAAAGCTCATTCCAATTCATCTGATGTGTTTGCCTGTGGTCTTGTTCTTCATTATATTYTGTCAGTGAAAAAACATCCATTCGCCCCYCGAATAGGSGCACTRCAACACGAGATTGAAGCMAACATATTGAATKGCARCATKGARGGATGGGAYGACTCTCTGTGYCCTGAAGCAGCTAATCTCCTTAAAGCAATGCTTGATGGAGATGAAAARRAACGRCCAKCTGCAGAYAAAGCATTGGATCATCCTTTYTTCTGGTCAAAGAAGAAARAGCTGGATCTTCTCAYAGCTGTTGGCAATCAACCAGAATTTGAATGCCCACGTGCTAAAATGACCTCTCCTTTRACTGCTGTTGWGACAGATCTGGAAGCAAGCTTTTATACCGTAATCAAACATGTAAAATGGAATGACCCAGGTTATGTACACATGCCWGCCATTTACACCRAAATGATGCTGAAAAGGAAAATGCCATATGATCCTTTTTCCATGGTAGAGTTAGTGCGCTTCATACGAAACGCCATTGCACACGTATCAGGAAGCTCGCGACCAACACCGACAAAAAAACTTCTACTGGAAGACTTTGTGTTCTTGGAATATTTTCCAAATCTTGTGATGGAGGTTTACAAGGCTGTAACCACTCATGGATGGGATCAGACGAGAGAAGAGATCAAGTATGCATTACAGTGAGCGTTCTCAAGATAAGATGCACAAATATCATATATATTATAAGCACAGAGAGCACGGGTGCCGTAGCGGTGTGAGCTCTCGCCTCTCATCAATACGACCCGAGTTCGAGTCCCGCCGGGCTCGGTGTTGTATATGAGTAGAGTTGTTTGTTGGTTCTCTCCTGTGCTTCGAGGGTTTTCCGGGTTCTCCGGTTTTCTTCCCTC